ATCCCCACGAAACGGGGACACCCCCCCAATCAAAATCAACCAGGGGTTTTCTTAATCCGGGCTCTGCGCCGAAATCGGTGCCCACAGTTCGGATTCCCGGAACCCGGCTTCTGCGGCGCTTTGGACAAAGCGGGCGCCCCAAGGTTGCCGAAATCTTCTCACCCTGATCCCTTCAGAAAAGATATTCGAAGGTGAAGGCCGCGTGCAACCCCGCAAGTGGTGATTTGGGCCATGACCAAAGATTTCGCCGGAACAGTCAGGGTTTGTGGGCGTCCATTCTTGGAACACTGTTGGTTAATTGCCGGGGGGGGGGGGGGATATTTGGAAGGTTTCGTGAAGAATATGGGGGATGGCGATTTTTGGAGGGGAACCCAAGCATTTTAGGGAGGAACACCCCCTATGAATTCCAAGAGACGTTCAATTAGTCCTGGGTACTGGGCCCAATAAAAGTGACATTCTCTAGTGACATTCTCTAAATGTCCCCCCCACGCCAGAATTCAGGCCCACTCGGACAAATGGATTTGTTGCGCTTTGCGTGGATTCGATTGGGAGGTCCACCAGGTTCGTTTTGAATAATTTTTAGGGCCGCCTCCTCTTATATGGGACCCTGCGTGGTCTCAAAACCAACGACTTTTTGCCCATCATGTCAAATTGGGGGTAAACCAAACGTTGGACAGCATGGCTTGCCATGACTTGCCGAGCCGCTGTTGACCTCATGTTGGCAGGTCCAGTCGATCAGATTTAGCTTCTTCTTGGCTCGTGCGTAACCCATGTTTCTTTTTGAACTTTTTGAACCAGGAAGAAACACACCTATTTGGCTTATGTGTTTTGTTGGTAGTGTTGTTATTTCTTGTTCTTATTCTTGTTATTGTTATTGCTGTTTTTTTTCTTTTTTTTCATTTTTTCGGGGTTGCCGGTTAGGAGATGGATCTCTCGGCAGGCCGCCGGGTTTACAGAGTGCGAAGGATATTGTTGGCCCATTCAAGAAGCACTTTACAATATGGTTGGGAGAACCCTCTTTTGTTTGCTGGTGCTCAGGTGTATCCATTAAGCATGGATTTATGAGTTTCGAGTGGGCTTAGGAAGTCAATATTCACCACTTGCATGTTCAACCCACTTGGCAAGTGTGTCGTTCCCTTACCATAGATGTTACCTACCAAGTGGGTTGAACATCCAAGCAGACCCAGAGGACCCCCTGTTTTTTTTGTTGTTGTTGTTACTACTGTTTGGAGGAGACCAACCTAAGCCATACATATGTATATATATATATATATACATATATATATATATATATATTTTAAACACAAACAAAATGACATACAACAAGCAGGAAAGCCGTGGTTCGGAGTCCAAAACCAGGACATAGCTATGGTTACAACTTGGGTAACCGGGGATAGCCCCTCCTTGAATACCATGAATGGGAGAAACATCAGGACATCTAAGAGATCGAGACACCATCGACTGACAGAAATCAAAGGGCTGAAGTGGGGGGGGGGGCTATCCCTTGTCAACCATTTAATAGGCTTTGATAAGGCCTTATTAAGGGCTTGTCCTTGGCTCAGGCCCCTCCTCATAGGTTCTGCGAGTTCATGAATCCATACCAAGACAAGGAAATCAAGAATCCATCGGAATGACCCCCCACCCCAAGTAATTTTTCGAAACCCCACAATTCAGGCCCACTCAGACAACTGGACTCATTGCGATCAATCCAGACCAGGACATATCCCAAAATAACTCTACTAAGGTAGGTTCTGCGAGTCCATGAATCAGCAGGCCTTTCGGCTTTTGGGTTCATTTGCCCAAGGGATATGTACAAGCACCCCTGCGAGTCAGGACAAGGAGATCAAGCTCCTCTCGCAATACGTGCGGAAGCTCGAGGAGGAAGCTCGGATCCGCGACTCCCAGCGGGAGCGCCTGCTGACCGATGCCTCCATCAGCCGAAGCAAGTTCAAGCAGACGGACGGAAGAGCAGGGGTAAATCTGGGACATGGGCAGTGAGTGTGTTTCTCAATATTGTATATGTATGATTTAAATAATATCTAACATATATGTATTCATAATATAGTATATATGATTTATATATATGCAATAATAGGTGTATATATATATATATATGTATGCAATAATATAGGTAACATCAGATAATGTATGTAATATATATATATATATATATAATATACATATATATATATATATGATTTATATAATATATAATAAAACATATATATATATATATATAATATATATTATAACCTATGTGTATATATATATATATATACATAAAAGCCCAAGCCCAATTGTCATGCGCCTGGTTGCAGTACTGCTTGCGTGTACGTCCACCTTCCCAAGCGGGGTGGGGGGGGGGGGGGGCAGGGAAAGCCTCCTCACTTCCCGGTGGGAGAGTAGCAGTTGCCTTGGAATCGGCTTCGGTTCGTTGTTTTGCGCGAGCTCCGAAGTTGTACCATATGTACATAGCGTGGATCAAAATGGTTAACCCGGGGAGGGTTGGGTGGGTCCTTTTGGTTTCCCTTTAAACCAAATCAGGGGACCCTGAACGGCCATCCTTGAACCCTTTTGTTAGAGCCCAGTCTCCAGCTGGGCGGCAGGTTGTTGGGTGAAACATGGTTAAGCCTATTTTGTTCGAAGGCACGGGGACTGGAGTGGAGGGGTTAGGTCAGTTAACGTTGGTTTCATTCGTGTTCTAAACAAATTACCATTGCCATGTTTTTGCATTTGGGAGGACAACCAATGTTGGCATTTGAAGATCTTGGCAAAGGCAAATGTTGCGGTGAGGGGGGACCTGGTCCAATATCCCACCAAAGGCACCCCCCCCGGTTTTAGCGTTTGGTTCAAATAAGAACCGTTTCTGACAGATGCGTGTATAGCGTCCCTTTCTGTACTTTGTGGGGGGGACAGATTCCAAGTTGCCATTTCAAGAGTCTAGGTCATCATATCCACGTCCACCGCCCTGTGTTCGACCCGCTTTTTGGTTCGATCCGCAGGTTGGGTGAGCCCATAGTTTGGATTGGGAAATGGGGGGATTGAAGCGAGCCCCTTCGTCTTGAAAGGGGCGCCAAACCCGGCTAACTCCACCAATTCAGGGAAGCGCACATGAAAATCCCATCCCTTCCCCTCATCCCTTGCCCTCATCCCTGAAAAGAGAGGTTCCTTCCTTCCCAGCTCATCCCTGCCCACCCCTCTTCCTTTCCCACCCGCTGCAAATCGGTTGATTGCAATTCGCCGCCACTGTTCTTGCTGGTTCTCAGCAGGGCATGAGAAATGGAATGACCCCAAGATAAACCATCCAACTTGTGGTTTCCTTTAATCTGGAATTCGGAAAGGAGCTGTTCCGGAGCTAAGGAGTATCCAAGTTTGCCTTTAAAGAGGGAGCCTTTGGGCTACCGATTGGTCTCGGTAGGGACATGGTCGTTGTGGATTTGAAGCCTTTATTTTTTGAGGGATGGCAAACCTAACTTCCAATCCAATCCAAACCCCGGCTCATGATAGGGACATGGCAATCGATCACCAGCCTGCAAGTAATCTTGCTGATGCGATAGGCAGGGAATGAGAAATGGAATGACCCCCAGAAAAAAAAAAGAAAAAAACAACATTGGCGCTTTCCCTTTTTTTCGGGAGTCCCCAAAATCGGTTCATTCCCAACACCCGGAACAGTCACCATCCTTTATTCGGGGACCAAAGCCAAACGGTTCACTCAACCACATTGCCTGCCTATTCATCAGCAGCATGGTTTCCTTTGAGGGACCCCCAAGCGGTTCATTCCCTACAGATCGATCACCTCACGCAATTTCACTCAACCACATTCATCGATCAGCAGCCTGGCTTCCTTCCTTTATTCGCGGACCACAGCGATCCATTCCCTACCTATCGATCACCAGCTGGCTTCCTTTGAGGAACTCCCCAAGCGGTTCATTCCCTACCGATGGATCACCTCACGTTTGCCAAACAACTCCAGCCGACACCCGGTTCATTCCCCAGAACGGTCACCCTCCCTTGCTGGTGGCTTCCTTTCTTCGGGACTCCCCAAAATCGGTCCATTCCCTAGCAATCCAAGTGGGAGGTTCTGGTTACCGATCGGAGGTTCTGGTTAGGAACATGGCCATCGATCACCTCACATATCTAGAAACCGTTTTGGATGCGCCTTTTGTGGGTTTCACCTGTTCTTCCCCCCTGCTGGTCCTTTTTTAGTAATCTTTTAGTACTCTGTTGACCTACAGGGGTGGAACCACAGATTCGCCACCTCCAAACCGTTTTCCAAAAAGCTACAAAAGTAACAAAAGCTACAGGGGTGGAACATAATTTGCCAAAAAGCTGGCAGGAGGCGGAGCAGCAGGAGCTGGTGACTCGACTCCACGGCCTCGAGGACTCCTTCGCGCGCTGCGTGGGCCGAGTGACCCAGGCGCCGAGCAAGACGTCGGGGGGGTGGGGGGTGGGGTGGGGTGGGGGGTTTTGGGGGAAATCCGGTTTGTTTGGTTTGCGAATTTGTGAGGGATGCCCTGGAAAAAGATGGGAAATCCAGTCTGCTCACTTTTCCAGAAAAAGACCCTTATTTCGCACCCAATTGAACTTAGTACGTCACGTGTGTTTGAGAACAGACACCAGCCAGCCAATCTCTTGTTGCGACTCACCCGCAAGTGGCCACGGCAGCAGAGTCCAAAAACACATGCGCAAGGAATCGACGAATCGCCCCCTACTTGGCCGCTTGGTTGGTTGCAAATTTAGTTGCGTGTTCAACCTCTTTTAAAGGGGTTGACAGGATTTGCACACCTATCCAAGCAGATGTCGATCAGTACGGAATCGATCGGAATCGGCAAGCAATCGGCAAGCATGAGGGGACCCCCTTAACCATCCCAGGATTTCTAAAGGATCCCTTGGTTCATTCCGTTTCCCCTAAGATTTGAACCAGCGTTTCCTTATGGGATCTCCTGGCTCACTCCCGCCCAACGCCTTGATGCATTTTCGCAACTTCAACTTGCCCTAAACCATATCGAATTGGCTGCCACCTGTTTCCATGACAAAAGAGAACCTAGTTCTAGAGAGCTGGCCCCCGCCCCGAGGAAACGCTGGTTCAAATCTCAGGCGAAACGGAATGAGCCAAGGGATCCTTTAGAAAACCAAGGGAAGGGGGTGCCCTCATGTTCTACCACAGACCGGCATCCGTTGAACCCGCGCAAACCGAACCCCAGGCGGCCACGGCCGGAGTGGTGGGCGTGTGTTTGGAGGAGGCCCAGCCGGTGCCGCGCTTCGCGGTGCTCACGAGGCGTGAGCCCAACGGCGCGGTCTTGGAGATCTTCGAGGAGACATCGTGGCGGCTAGAATTGAGTCGAACCTCTTTTTTCTCTAAGCATCCCTGCTTTCTTCTTTTTTGTTTTTGGTTTTTTCTTTCTCCATGCACTTTACTTCAAAAAACACTTCAAAAACAAGCAACCGTGCCTGAAAAACGCGGCAACTTGGCTATCTGTGCCTGTTAGAATTGGCGGTGGGTCACCACCGTTTTGGGAGATTCACCACCCATTTCAGAACCTATTTTAGTGGGGATTGAATCGGATTTTCTTTTGACCCATGGCCAATCGAGTCCAACCATTTTGTTCAATCATCCTTGCATTTGCTTAAGAATGTTGTATATTTTCCCTTGTTGGTTTTAAAGGGAATCGATCACTACTGGACATATTGTCATTTTTTCCATGGGGCTTAAGCAAACGGAAGCATCTGTTCTTTCAAAAGCTGGTTCCGTTTTCCATGGCTGCATCGTTCTTTCCAAGAACCCACTTTGCCAAATGGATGCAAGACGGTGATTGGGCTTTCCCCGTAAGGCTTAACCTAACTCTTGTCTTTGGGTGCGATGGATCCGAGTGTGAAGCAGACACGGGTCCGGTGAACAACATGGCCTGTGCTGTTTGAGTCCTCGCGCGGGGGTTTGAGACACCCTGGCTCTGAGTCGCGCACACCTTTACACTTGGATACGCCTGTCCAGGTCAGGTAGGTCATGCCTGGTGCAAGCCATGTCTATATTTTCAATCGCGCACTCGTTTGGGCTATAGTGGGCGGGCCTATTCGACCCCAGGGTGAAGTATAGCCGGCCAGCATAGCGAGACCTCCGGTTGACAAACGGCTGGTTGGGTGCCCGCCCGGGCGCCGAGCCGAACACTTGGCGCTTTTCATGCGTTGGGTAAACAACCAAAATGCATGGTCTAGCTGCTAAAGGGGCCCAGGGGACGGGGTTTGGCCTTTTGGTGGCAAGGTGGCAACAGCTTCGCTTCATGCGCCCTATGCGCCCTAGGAGCCGGACAGCCACTGGGAGCTTTGTGCTGTTGAGCTGTCCCCTTTGGGGGTTGGTCGCCGCATGGCCGAGATCGGTGCACGAGTCGCACCGCTGAATTCTTTTGAGTCGACGACTTGAATTGGAATGAGTTCTGTGAGTGTCTTGTGTTAGTTACATTTGGCAACCCTTAGTTGGTGGTTTGGGTTGGTTTGGTTTGGTTTGGTTTGGCCTGGCTTTTATAGAGGCAAACCGCTCCGCCTCCAAACCAATCCAAACCAAGCAGAAGGAAGCTGATACTTGAGGCACTGGAGGCCTCGATCGCCTTTTCGATCGCCGCCATATCCACTGCGTATTGGGCCAAAACGGTCGGGAAAAAAGCCGCCGACGCCGAATTGCGACATTGGGCGACCCCCAAAATGGAGTTCGTTCTTCCTGTCAGATGAAATTAACCTGACACTGGCAACCCTCACACGCATCCAAGTGGGACACACTATTTGACTCAAGCCGTAAGCCCGAATCCCGCGGGCCGAAACGGAGGCATCATCTTGGATATTTTTTTGGCAGGAAGCAGACCCGGAAAAAAACAAGGAAAAAAACAAAAGAAAAACACAGTCTTTTCCCCATGGGCAAGCTATCTTGGATCTTCGGCCAAGGGGTTTGCCACCTGGGTAACCTACCAATGACCGGATATTTCGCCACTTGACGGGGGGAACCTATAAGTAGGTTATAGCCCGGGATGCCAAGAACTTCCGGGGCGTGTTGGGGATTTGGGGCCAGCCGTGCTCAAAGGGTCAACGGATTCCCTCCGTGCAAAGAGCGGTTTTGTGCGGGAGTCGACCGTCCGGTTCCTGGCTCATGGTTTGCCGCGGACGTCCTTGGCAAAGGCGTGCTTTCAGCCAGAATTATGGCTTGGTTTCAATGTCTCACATGACTCATATGCTTCAACATATGTCCGCGATAGTTATCACGTTTCTATTTTGAAAGCATGGCTTATTCGTGCACACTGGTTGTTGTTGTCTCCATCGTCTAACTCAGCTTGCCTTTTTTTGGTGGTTTGGATTGGTTTGGAGGCGTTGCCGGAGTGGTTTCCCATTCACCTTCAAGAACCAACAGTTGCCCCTAAACCACCAATCCACCAAGTCGAGTGATACCTGACTGACTCCTCCCTTACTTGTTTAAGCATGGAACCCAAACACCCACCCATGCTAGAGGAATTCATGAACCCGCATACCCAACCAAACCCACCTTTAGCATCGGAGTCTCTTCTTTTGGGGCCTGGACCCCTTTGGCTTCGCTCCACGCGTTTTTTTTTGTTTTTTTGTTTTTTTGGGAGGGGGGGGGGGTAGACCACGTCCAGACATGGCTACCCCCCACTGCGCCGCGCGCCGCGCGCGCGTGTGGCGCTTGAGGAAAGCCTCCGGTGGGCCTCGATGAGAACGCGCTGTCGCTGGTCACTTGCGGAGTGGCCGGGGGAGGTGTCGGCTCCCAGGAGTGCCGACGGGGGGTAGGGGGGGGGGGGCGTAGGGGGAGGGGGGTAGGGGGGGGGTGATGGGTTCCCCCCGGGGTGAAATGTCCACCAAGGGTGCCTCCATGAAAGTTCACACCCATATGTTTAAACCATGGCTTGAATCACCAAAGTGTAAGGGGCAAGCGGTTGGCCGTGTAACCGCGTTTAGCCCACCAGAATCAACTGTCGTATTTTTGAGGTGGGGGAGCCACATTTTTGCCCAAGCTGTTTGCCCCTTGCCCTTTCTGGGTGTTCCTTCAGTTCCTCTGCTCAAAAAGATGAGCTTGTTGCAGGGGAGCGGGTCCGCCTGGTAAACAGCTGCTTGGAAAGGTAGGACAAGAGACGTCCTGGCCAAGTCAGACAAGAATTCCTAGCAATAGGTTGGCGGATTTAGAGGACAGAGCGCTCCCATAGGAATGTGCCTCTTTCGAACTTGCGCAACCGGGGATGGGCCTGAAAGGCTTCAGAAGGCCTCTTCATAGGGCTGGGCGTTTTCGTAGGCAATCTGAAGCAGTGTTGCCGGGTCGCGCGTTTTATTTATTTCCGTGGCGCAGGCTCGTTCTTGGACCGATCAACGCCGATCACCATCTTGTCTCAAGGGGTGCGTTTTCATACTCACCCCAGGGAGCACCTCAAATTCACCGTTTGGGAGTTGTGCAGCCTTAGCCTGCTTCAACGGCTCGACGCGTCCAAACAGCTTTTCTTTTGGTGCATCTTGCTTGGATGTTAGGACTTTAACTTTTTGCCAACTAATGAGTTCTCCACTAAACCCACAAAGGTTAAACTTTTAGCAGGGGAGCCGATTTCGCAACCGAGTTTCGGCCACGTAAAACCTGCGGTGAGGAGATGGTGAGCTGCCCGGCCATCAAGTGCCCGGACAGGGCCTCCTTCATCAAATGGTCCTGTGCCTTCCGCGGCCCGGCGACGTCTTATTGCCCCAAGCCGAGAGCGACCCTGTAGAACTGACCCCTCCCATTTGCTTAAGACTGTTTCATATTTTCCCATGGTGGTTTCAAAGGGAATCTATCACTACTGGAAATATTTGATTTTTTGTCAAGGGGTCTTAACCAAATGGAAGTCTTATGCCCCAAGCCGAGAGCGACCCTGTAGAACTGACCCCTTCCGTTTGCTTAAGAACATGTTATATTTTCCCATGTTGGTTTCAAAGGGAATCTATCACTACTGGACATTTTTTTTTGTCAAGGGGTCTTAACCAAATGGATGTCTTATGCCCCAAGCCGAGAGCGACCCTGTAGAACTGACCCCTTCCATTTACTTAAGAATGTTTTATATTTTCCCATGTTGGTTTCAAAGGGAATCTATCACTACTGGAAATATTGTTTATTTTTGTCAAGGGGTCTTAACCAAATGGATGTCTTATGCCCCAAGCCGAGAGCGACCCTGTAGAACTGACCCCTTCCATTTACTTAAGAATGTTTTATATTTTCCCATGTTGGTTTCAAAGGAAATCTATCACTACTGGAAATATTAACCAAATGATTTTTTGTCAAGGGGTCTTAACCAAATGGATGTCTTATGCCCCAAGCCGAGAGCGACCCTGTAGAACTGACCCCTTCCATTTGCTTAAGAATGTTTTATATTTTCCCATGGTGGTTTCAAAGGGAATCTATCACTACTGGAAATATTTTATTTTTGTCAAGGGGTCTTAACCAAATGGATGTCTTATGCCCCAAGCCGAGAGCGACCCTGTAGAACTGACCCCTTCCATTTGCTTAAGAACATGTTGTATTTTCCCATGTTGGTTTCAAAGGGAATCTATCACTACTGGAAATATTTTTTTGTCAAGGGGTCTTAACCAAATGGATGTCTTATGCCCCAAGCCGAGAGCGACCCTGTAGAACTGACCCCTTCCATTTGCTTAAGAATGTTTTATATTTTCCCATGTTGGTTTTCAAAGGGAATTATCACTACTGTTTTTTTTTTTTTTGGGTCAAGGGGTCTTAACCCCAATTGGAGTGTCTTATGACAATCGAAGAGCGTCCCTGTAGACTGACCCCCTTCCATTTACTAAGAATGTTTTATATTTTCCCATGTTGGTTTCAAAGGGAATCTATCACTACTGGAAATATGTTTTTTTGTCAAGGGGTCTTAACCAAATGGATGTCTTATGCCCCAAGCCGAGAGCGACCCTGTAGAACTGACCCCTTCCATTTACTTAAGAATGTTTTATATTTTCCCATGTTGGTTTCAAA